CTGATGACAAAAGGATACTGTTTATAAATTAGTTGCTGCAACACACAATAAGCTCTCCACAGGCAAGGCCTCAAAGGACAACAGGAAATTCATTCACCATTCACCACCCTCCAYTGACACCTCAGTCCTCTCTTCTCCATTTCTTTGAGCTCTTGCAGCATTTGCAGTCACTTTTTACCACCCATTCCGAAAATCATAACTGCCCCAGGGCTCTGGCAACCCACTGACCTCTGGTGTGCTGGGATAGGGACAGACCCTGGGGCTTTCCTGGCTGAGAGAAGCAGGAGGCAGTGACACCCTTGGGCTGCCCATGTTGGGGGCTCTGCACATCCTCCTGCTGGGGGGCTGCTGGCAGTGCCAGCCTGGGGGCACCAGCTCATCCTGGCTGTGTGAACAGCAGTGTCCTCACTGCTGGGGAAAGGGCTCTGCTCCTCTGCCTGCACSCCAGCAGCACCTGCAAGAGTCCCTGGACAGGGCTTGGAGCAGCCTGGGACAGTGGAAGGTGTCCCTGCCCATGGCAGAGGRTTGGGAGCAATTATCTCTATGGTGCCTTCCAACAGAAAGCATCTCACAGCTCTTGTTGGAGAAGATTGGGGGGACTGTAGGGGCTTCATCCCACACAGGGTGATGACCCAAAGGAGCTGTGTCCTCACCAAGGGCCTTTTTGGGGGATACACTGCCCGTCTGCCCCAGAGCTGAGCACCCTCCTCATTTCATTGCACCCTTTCTGCAAACACACCCCAGGGTGAAATAATCCCCCTCCCCTTTTTTCTTCCCCTTTTTTAGTGTTGAAACAGCTCTCAGTGACTGTCACACACTTCAACTCTCCCGAAGGTGTCCCGACGTGTCAGGAGAGACAAGCAGGAAGAATGGGGGAGGAACAAGCSCAGGGATCTGGTATTTAATCTCAGCTCTGTTGCTGACCAGCAAACAGTGTCAAAAGAGTGTTTTAAGATCTCTTATGGAACCTCAGATGTGGAGATGCATCATGCCAGACAGTCAATACTTGCCTTTTCGTGCTTTAGATTTTCCTTCCATAAATTGATGTTGGAAACCAATTGCAATGTCTTTTTATATCTCTCAGAAAGTTTTCAATTTTAAGAATACAGGAATATGCTTGAGGAATTTTTCATCACCACTACACATACACTTATTCACTGGTAGTAGGTTCCACACTGAACTCTTAAAAAAATTCTTAAACACTGTCCCTAAAMGAAAGTAAAACAAATAAAATCCAAGGTTTTGATTCTTCCTCAAGAAGAATTAACACAGTTTGACCTCTTAGACACTGCTGAATATACTAATGAAGTTAAATTAATAACACTAATTAAAATAAGGTCTAGTTATTATATTTTTAATGCTATTATATATATTATGTGAGATACATACATTTATATATTTTATACATACYAATCTTTAATTGTTTGGGGCTTGTCTTTCTAGGGGCCTTGGCCTTGACTGATGAACTCAACATAAAGCTTCTGTCTGAAAAGAAGAGAGACTCAAACAACGAMTCTGTGTTAAATGTATGTTAATTTTTTTTTGTCATGCTTCTTAATGTGCTGAGGTTTTCTACATAGGGAACATTATTTATGAATCACCCAGAGTTCTTCCAGATTTTATTTTTAGAATTTCTGGATGATAAGTAGAGAGCTTATAACTAGGCCAGAAAATGTGCACTTCTCTTTAAAATTTCCCATAAGGAAAAGAAATTCCTAAAAAGAAGTGTAGTACACATTTGAAAAATCAAATTATACTTCATTTCAAATGGTTTCTACTCTTAATTGACACTAGATTTTTATTTTTTTTTTTATTAAATGTTAAAGGCAGGGAATATGATGTCCAAAGCAAGCAGAAAGATGTTGATTATAAACTAATTCCAGATGTTTCTGGGCAGGTTTTGGCAGGTTCATTAACACCCAGGGCTAATAGTGACCCGCTGTGTTCGTCACGTTAATGTCACTGTGGCTCCATCTTGTGGCTGAATGATTATTTTCGATTAATTTTCGATTCCGTAGGAAGAGGTCGGTCGAAAATAAACATGAAACAAGAACGAGGAGAGGAAAATGTAGACATTATTAATTTCATTGCATTTGTTTGTATAAGAAAAAAGTGACAGAAAAACCCCACAACCCTGAGTGTTTAGCACTCGCCTTCCATCACTGTAATTTGCTGAGTCTAAGTGGATAATTATAAACTGGGGAAGGTTTTAATTAAAATATTATTTAAGAAAATCAAAGAAAAAAATTTCATGAGTATAATGATTATTTGGCTCAATGAATCAGATGTACCCTGCCAGTCATGTTTTGTTCCTATTTTATACAGGTGACCAAAAATTCTGATGGGCAGTTTAACCTTGAGGCTGCAATTAAAAATGTTGACACAATGTCCAATGAGTTGAAGAAAATAAATGGTAATTCTAACTTCACCACGCAGTTAAGAAACTGTTGAAAACATCATAAGAGTGTGCACTTGTGAATGGCTTGGTTTTCCATGTCAGACAAATGTGTTTTAATGCAATGAAGCAGTAGATTTGCCTTTGTGCTTTGAAAATTTAATGAAACAGTAGTTACAGAGAGATGGAATCATGTTAGTTAACCATGGGAAACACCTGTGAGGAAATCAGAGTCATCCCTTTGTACAAACAATCTTTTAATGCAAATATTTAATTTTATTGTATTTATTTAATACAAATATTACTACTATGCTCATCCCCGACTGAGTTTAACTGTCTCAAAGTAAGTGAAACAAGGCAACCCTCCAAATTTTTGAATGATAGATGAACACAAAAAAAAATGCTGTATGTGAATTACCATTCACTTAGCATCTATCGTTCAATAAACATCATGCTGATACTCTGGCCTTTGTCTTTCAGTGGAAAGCCAGCTACTGCTTTGTGACCTAATTCTGAATTTCAAYCATCCTGTGAAGGCCAAAGATTTAAGAGAAGCTGAAGAAAAGACTTGGAGTTTGACAGATTAAGTAACATCTATTTTTGTGTATTGTCTTCTATTAATACTGCTGAAGTTGCTGTTTCTTCTTCTCCTTCATCTTCTTTCTTTTAAACTCAAAAAAATAAGTTTGAACTTTACAATGATAGCATGGTTTCCTGCAGTTAGACWATTTTTATTTTAAGCTAAACATGTGAAATGGAAAAAAAAATGTAGGCTTTTTTTTCTGAGAGAGATTTTTTAACCCACATTTCCCAGATTAAACCCACTAGGGCTGGAAAGACTGATGTAATTAATGTAAAAAGTCAGGAAACTGGGCACTAAGATTTTCACGTGTAGTTGTCTCCTTTTAAACAAAGACTTGTTGGAACAGTAACATAAGATTTGAAATTTACTTGAAGTCAAGTCATTCCTCTCAATCTCAGCTGTGTTCTGGGAAATGCAATAAGAAACTGGCAGTGAAGGAGGAACTGCAATTTGTGCTTTGAGCTGCCTTCCTTGTCTTAAAAATGGTGCTGAGGAAGGGCTCAAAGAGCAGATTACTTCTGGAAAACCAAAGGTACTTCTCATTCCAGTTTCTGTAATGACTCTCTAATCCACCCAGTCACAAAAAGAGGGAGGATTTTGTGGTTTAAATAGTCCATCCTAAAACCTTCTTGGCCCAACATTTGCACAGCCACCATTTTCATGTAATTCATTACTAATATTTGATCCTACTTTATTGTTTGAATGTTGAGATGTATTTCTAGTCTTATAGCAAATGTATTTATCTGAATAATCAAATAGAGATTTATTCTACCAGAAAAAATGCAGTGTTAGAATTTGTTATGCTGGTTTATWTTTCATTTCTTTTTCCCTGGTGAGATTATTTAAAAAGAATAAACAATTCCACAGGAGGTGTTTCTAGGTTGTCAGATTTTTCAAGGCAGTACAATGGAACAGAATTACAGCTCAGAGAACCAGTGGTGATATGGGGGATGTTGTTCTTCATTTTAGCATTTTTTGAAGAACATAGATCAGAGCTGACTCTTCCTTCACCAGAATTTTTAAAAATATTGGCAGTTTTTTCAGCTGAAGAACTTTTAAAGTGGTTTTTTTCATGTTTATTTTTGGACTCATAGTTKCATGGAAATGAAATTTGCTAACTTTGAATTCCAGCTCTTAGCTAAACAACTTGGAAAGGAAGATAATATTTCCAAAACATATCTCTTTAAGTAAAACTGTTTATGAATTCTGATTATGTTCTCTGAGAAGCTTTACACATTGTGCGAAAGTTATTTTCTACCTTGAATTTTGGTTCCAGTGTTTTAACTGATAYAGACTCAAATGGCTTTAAAGGAGGAAAGTGTGACAAAGTCTATCAGAATTATCAAACCAAGGTCTTGTCAGAAAACAAAAATAATTGAAACCCGAGGCATTGATTSGATAAATCCCACTCAACAAAGATTAAGGAGGGAAAAACTCTTGAAACAGCAATCTTCAATGGTCCTCAGTTGCAACTTGTATTCTAGAATTGTGACTGTTCCTGTTTTTCTCAAATACAGTAAAACAGAAAGCAGYTGTGCAAGAGGAACTCAGTTTGGCCTGACTGTGTGTGCTTTCTAAGAGATCTGGGGGTGTCCTGCCAGTTAAGGATCACATGATGATAATTTTGTTGATGTGCTTCTGTAAAAATGCAGTTCCTTGCTTGATTTAGTCAGGACGACACAGCTGAAGAGAGGTCTGTGTGGAGAAAAGCCACTTCCTGAGTGAAGCTAGAGAATTCTAGGAGATGCAAAATTCCAGTTGTGGGCTAAGGCATGGAATCSTCAGTGGCATGGCAGAGAGGATGTGCTGGCTGTAGGGGTGGTGTTTTCCTGGAAATCTGTGAACAAACCCAGCTGAATAACCCAGACACAGATCCTGACAGGCACCTGCATTTCCAGGGTGAGCATCTTCTGATGCCACTGAAATCTGGGTGTCTTTCAGATCTGGGTTGGAATCACAGTCTTTTCCTAGAAGTGGGCATGATTAGATTAATTGGGGGGGAAAAAAAAAAAAAAAGGCTTTTATTGTCTTTGGTCTATTTCTCCACTTTGACAACGTTTGGGTCTATCTGTATCACTTCAAATAATGTGATTGCTGCTGTAATTCCAATCCAGAAGAAAAAGCTCCTATGAAAGCAGAGACTTRTACTGACACTTAGTTATGGTTCATCAAATTTGGTGTGGAAATAATTTCAAKAGAATATAAATATCTTGGGAGATAAAAAACTGTCATGTACTGTATGATTAATGGACAGTAAGAAACACTTTATAGGAAAATTATATTCATAGAGCACTGCATTTAAGGCATAATTTAAAAATAACATAGTCCTTTTTCTTTGAAATTATGAATTTTAATGATTTCATGGCTTTAGTTTGCTGTAAAGGAAAATATCTAGAAGTTTACAAACTCCAGTAAACTTCAAAACTATATGTGATCTTCTCTAAGTCTCARTTAAATATGTCCTGCAGCATATTTTAACATGCACTGGTTTCTTGAACCTCTGTCTTTTCCATCAATCAGAAGAAGGGGTGTTCTTTGGAAGTGGTCAATGATATCTGCTACTGAAGAAAAATCCTGTGGGAAGGAAAAAATGAGAAGGCTAAGGCAAATATGTCAGAATAATTAGTAATCAGTAAAAACATATGGTATTTTAAAATTCTAAATATTTTGTAGTATTATAAAAATACATATAAGGTCCAGTAAATACCATCAGAACAACTGTTCTCATTCCTACCATGATCTGTAGCTCAGTAACTCTGTATACAAGCTGCTGCAAAGCTGTATAATTAATTTATGCAGTCTTTTGTCTGTTTAATACATGCAGTTGTCCCTCTGCTTGACCTGATGAGTGTATTTGAGAGCTCAGAGTTGGCTGATCAGTTCAGGGGGGTCTGTCTCAGAGCTGCCAGGATTGTGCTGACTGCTCAGTCTGGTGCCAGCAAACCCACCCAGTGCTGCTGGCTGGGGCTGAGCCACCAGTCTGGGAGCMAAGCTGGCAGGTTTGGATCAGCTCTCAGTTCTGTATTTCCCTTATCTGGAATCTCAGTGGTAAAAAAACATCCCCTAACCAGTACAKGGATTTCTAACAGCTGGGTTCTAAGGCCACCCCTTCATTCCCTCAGTGCAAACAGTACTTCTACTTCCAGCAATAACAATATTCTCTCATTTATAATTCTAGCACAATAAGCAGAATTTCACCTCAGAACAGTCCCCAGACACTTTAAAATGAGGCAGGATATTCCCTACAATGAAGAGAAGTAGTGTGAAAAGCACAAAGTACCTCTTTTCCTTTTAAGCCAGTTCCTAACAAATACAAGTGATCCTGCTCCTGGTATCGAATCTGGATGTTGTAAACTTTATTTCTGTACAGCACCATCAGTACATATGGGTGAGTAACAGTTTTTCTTGAGCTGTCTCTCACCAGGAATGTTCCATCCTGAAAGGTGAAAAAATGGAAGATGACAAATAGAAGACACTTCTGGGTTTGATCAGTGTAACAGCCTTAACTAGAGCACTCGTGCTTTTAAGTGTTTTTTCTTTCTGAAATATTTTTCCTTCTGGTAAGAGAAACTGCACTATGRAAGCATTTAAATMATTTGTCMAATGTGCTGTYATTCAGTTTGSTACTTGAAACTTCCTTCTCTGTTAYAAAAGCAGATTTTTAGGGAAGGTAGAAATGGTGGAGTAYGAGGGAAAGATTCTATTAAAGRAGGAAGTAMAATATCAAAGACCAAACCTCRCATTGCTTKAACCAGAAGACAAGTTCATTCCTGCTAAGTGCCAAAGTTTCTACATGAACAGACAAAATAAGGGCATTGTCTTTACCACGGCTGGGTAAAGGCAGTGACACTTTATCACTCTCCCTGCTTTTCTYCATTTCAGACCTGTTTTGACAAGTCTTCCATTGAAATCCCTTTCTCTAAGGCACTGAATGTGACATCATAAGCTGGACTTTTGTACAAATCACTGGAATGGTGCACTTGCCWTCCTCAGCTCATGGCATGTGCTGTGAGACAGCACAGAGAAACCACGCCTCCCACAGCAATAGAATATAACTATTTATCTTTATGATTTTCATTTATTTCCACATGCACAGATAACCCTTATTTGAACCTGTACTTCATTTTGCAGATCTATATGGCCTAGAAAAGGCTGGGATTCACCTTCCTAATTCATCTATCCAAAAACTGCCGTTTGCAACAACTCCTCACTGGTGCCAGAAAACCATTCCASAGAACAAGTCACTCCTCCTAGCACAGGCAGGGTGAAACTGCTTTTCTTGGACTCTGGAAAACAACAKCCTTCACTGCTGGTTTAGACCAGATGTGTAACTTTTCTGTGGGTTCATTTCAAGGTGAATCCCCCACTCCAA